AACATCAGCTCTGAATGAGCCCCCAAAACTGCCCAAAGGCAGTCCCTAAACCACCCAAATCGTCACCTAAAACAACCCCAAACCCAGCAAAAAATACAGCCAAACCCAGCTGCGAAACAGTGCCAAAATGATCTCCAAAGCCACCCCATTTCAGCTCCAAAAACGAGCTGAAAACTGTCCCTAAACCAGCCTTGAAACCATCTCGAAACAACCTCAATACACTCCAAATTCCAGCCAAAAAAGCAGCCAAAACACTGCTGAAAACAGCCACCAAACAGCTTCAAAAATAGTCCATAAACCACCTGGAAACACCTCCATAAGACCACAAACCCCAGCCCCAAACAGTCCAAACTCCAGCCAAAACACACCCAAACTTCAGCCATGAAACAACCCCAAAAACGTCACCAAAAATCATGTAAAAACTGGTTCCCTCAACTGAGTACGGAGGGATCGAGTTCAAGTTGACGGCGAGGTTTTCCTGTCAAAATCGCGTCTGATCTAGGTCAAGCCTGCTGTCATCTTTGTTTTTGCTGTCATCTTTGTTTTGGTATTGTAGTTGGAGGTTTATTTTGAATAGAAGTTTCAGAAGATTCTCTCCGCTAAAGGTCCACTTCTATTCTTTCTCTTGTCAACTCTATTCTCTTTTTCTCTTTAAATTGATATATGACTGTTGAATAATATTTTTTTTTGAAAAAGGTAACAATTATATTCTTCAGCACCCAAAAAATGGGGCTGGTATCTAATATTTACAAGTACAACCCCTGAAAATCTTACAGAGAATCAAAAAGGTCTAGTAGTGATTCTACATCACCAATCAACTGTTCTTTACACCAAAAATGAAAAAGAGAAATACAAGAACTCTTGATTTTCTGTGTTGAACTGCTCTTGCCTTCAAAACATCTTGCATTCCTCTCCTTCCAAACTGTCCACCATATGCAAGCTGGAACAATCTTCCACCATTCCTTGTGACAAGTTCTTCCCCTAATACTGTACCAGCTGCATATCAGGCCAATGGTGTCTTTGGGCATTACCCAAAAAATACCAGCTAATGCTATAAAGAGCTGCCAAAGTTGACTAGTAATAACACAATGTAAGAAAAGATGCTCATTGGTTTCATCTTCCTGTTGACATAGAAAGCATGTAGAGTTGGTCTGAATACCTCTTCTTTGGAGAATTTCTAGAGTGAGGCAGACTTTTCTTACCACTAACCATGAAAAGCAAATAACTTTGAATGGTGCTATGATCTTCCAAATCTTTTTCCAAGGCCAAGAATAGTTGGGGTGTCCTCTGGATGATAGATAGTTGTATGCAGCTTTGACTGTAAATTTAGAGCCCTTGCCTCCTTTCCATGTAAGAGAATCTTCCGCCTCACTTAATCCTGCAAAACCTTCTAGCATTTTTGAGAATCTCAGTAGCTCTAGTGACTTCCCAGTCATTGAGAAGCCTTCTGAAAATTAGGTTCCAGCCCTAGGAGCTCCAAGTTTCTTCTACCGTGGCATTAGGTGAAGAGGTGAGATTGAACAGATCAGGAAAAAGATCTTTCAATGCTCCATGACCAATCCAATCATCATGCCAAAATGATATCATCCTTCCATTTCCTATCCTAAAACTTATGTTTGTTGTAAATTCCTCCCATAGATTCCTGATGGCTTTCCAATTGCCAACTCCATAAGGAGTTCTCACTGGTTTGGTGCTCCAGTGTCCTGATTGCTCGTACCTGCAGTTGACAACTTGTCTCCATAAGGCTTGCTTCTCAGTGTTGAATCTCCATAACCATTTCATTAAGAGACTCTTGTTCTGCAAGCTTAAGTTTCTAATGCCTAGACCGCCAACTCTCTTGCTGTTGAATAATATTATTCTACTTATGAATGTTATTAGTGCATCTAAACGTTCAATCGTGTTTAATTAAGGGAAGAATGCACGTTGCTCTGTAGTTGCTGTTTTGGATTTGATTATTCATGCTTAAATTAGTGTAAAGGCTTCCTCGAGCCAAACGAAGGCTACTGATGTCCAGCCTGTCAAACCTAAGCCTTTACATTTGGGTTTGAGCCACTTTAATTCAAATAAAGTGGTCAAAAAACCTGCTGACCCGGTCAACACCCCAGCCCACTTGGTGAAAGCACAAATGGGTAAAGAAAAGCAGCAGACCTTGCCTCAACAAGTCTATTTGGCTCTTGATTGAAAACAGATTCAACCCTCTATCGGTGGAAAAACAAACAGCTTGTATAGAACCCACTAGAAGAACTCCAGCTCCACAAGCGACCACCTGTGGATTGACATCAAAAGGCTGATGATGAAGCAGATCGTGCAACTACCATCCACAATCATGTTTGCCCTTGGGTGCCGACATCAGTACCATCAATTATAAGGTCTTTGGAGGCAGATTTCTCCTTTTCTTCTGAATTCCTCTCTCTTCCATGGTATGGCATGGACAATTCGGGTATGCAAGTGCTTCAAAATCCTGCGGTTGTGGAAACATCAAGGTGGACAAAGTTAGTTATGTCTAAAGCATGCAAATCATTTGGGTAAATGTTGCTGGCTTTGAATATGAAATTTTTGACATCATATTGCGAATAGAGGAAAAAAGGCGTCTACAACTACAAAAGCAAAGTGGTAGATCCCAAAGAGAGAAGCAAAAAGAAGCAGACAGTCGAGCTTGAAAGACTGATGTGTGGACTTAATTATGAAGGTAGGAGCAAAGGGGACAGGGCCAGG